AAGACGACTGTAATTCTCTCACGTTCTATAAATCTTGACAGATATCCAAAATGAAAATACAACATTTACAGTGTAAACTTAGTAATAACCTGTTTTTGTGGGATAAACCTTACCAGAAATAACGTACCAGATATCGAAGATCAATTGCGTACTTTTTAATTTGCTTGCGTTAGCTAACGAGCATAATAAGTTAACTGTCTTTGCATACAAATTTCGTATTCCCGCTGCTTATGCGTAACACTATCATAGTGCCAGAGACAATGATGTTTGCTCACTCATGTAGTGCTGCAGCATATTTTCAATTGTTCACCTTCCACATACGCATGTGCTCTTTTCCTGCATTACTCAATAGAAGGAGCTTACAGTCAAAGTCATTTAAAATGCTACACTGGCAATAATTGAGTCTATGTGCAGTAAAGACGCATAAAGTGTGATAATATTCACACTGAAATGAAACTTTACTCGGAAAAATATTTATATTTTTCCCAATTACATAAATGGCACTAACATTTTGAACAGGTAGTAGAAAATGGTCATAAATGAAGAATGAATCTAACTTTACACACAAAATACCCAAAACCTCCAGTAGGAGGCCTTAACATCCAATTACCTCTCTTCCCATTTGATCACAAAGAAAGATCTACAAAGTTATTTTTGGGAGTTATTAAGACCTTGGACTGAGCAGCTACCTAGTGAAGTAGACCGCGTTACTTTGTTTTCCTGTTCGAGGTTCCGTCATGGAAAATAACTTAAACGTCATGAATATCAATCATGCATGTGTTTTGTCACGCGCGCACATCGTGTTTTCCCGGTCTTTATTGGGAAAATTTTAAATTCTTACGTAAATGGTACTTGAAAAATGAAAACCCTTTCACCGACTATGAATTAAATGCCATTGGTAACATGACATTTCACCAAAAACAACTGGACTACATATTTATAATAATTACATGTAAATCGTGTCCTACTACACCACCAGTCTGTGCGAAAAAAAAAACCCTATTTAGATCTATCAGCTGGGCCCTAATGACGAGCACCTGCTTGCAGGCCATAATATTTGTAACCAGTGCGAAGAAATTCCCGACACTGTTGTCTGTTGTCTAAGTTGAAGACGATAGGGCTACAGCTCCTCGGTTCTATCGACAAGCCTCTGACCAGTCGATTGTCGCCTATTTCGATAATAAGCAGGCTTCGTGGAAGAGCATCGAGCATAATCCGCGCTTCGGAATACTCTCTAGCAAGCTTGGCCTAATGTCATTAAGAATTAATCGCAAGTAGCCTCGCGCAAATAATTTCACAAATATACCAAAGGTCCACAAATTTCCCTCCTCACTTCGCGACTCGGGAAATTTTGTGAGAACTTTGGAAATACTTGTGATGATATCCTTTTAATCTTTAATAGTTCCTCAGTGCTTATTGTATGCTATTACATTCACTACGCACTGAGGAATATTCGTCTTTTTCCTCCTCCCTCTCTAATAAAGGTGGATTTGCAGTGTTGCGTGAGTTTTTCCGTACGTTAAACGTGTGTAAAGTGCCTCAGCAATTTCTCTGCCACGTTAAAATCAATATGCGTAACTTTTCTCTGTATTCATGCGATTGCAGACGTGCGTAAAATTGCTTTCAAGATTTTTTTGTAAAATTGTTTTTCAACGCACGCTGACTTGCGTGGACTAAAGTACGACAGCAGAAATTCACTATAAAAGCGTGCTAATGAGTTTTAATGGGAATCTTTTGCCTGTTGTGTTATTTTAAAAATCGCCTTGTTTCTTGACATGGAAGACAGATGTACCTCAAATTTTCAGGAAATTCATAAGCTGGTGTAGGAGTTTAGGTAACAAATTTTGGCATGTTCACAAGCTTGACAATTTTTCCGGGTGCTTTCTGTTTAGAAAATCACGCGTCAAACATTCGCTTGAGCTCCATAACTGCCTTGTTTCGCAACAAAATATCAGATCTTATTCAATTTTTTTCCTTCCAGTTCGCGTGAAGTTTTCTTGCTACCTATGGATATCCGCTTTTTGATGCGAACGCAACACTTTTTAAAAAATTTGGAAATTTTAAAGCTTTGTTGAAACATGGATCATCTCTTTGCAATCGATGGCATAATCCACAATAATCGTGCAAATGTAAGTAAATCTCCCGCGGTCAGAAGTCAATCCTATACTACTCAAAAAGGGAATCAATATGAACGACAAATACCAAATGAGATCCTTTTCATGTCATATAACTTTTATTGTAATTACTAAAATCGAAGCAAGAACAAGCCAAATACAAATTTAGACAACGTCCTCATTTGAGGGTCGTTAATAATTGATATGGATGAAAACTTGGAAGTGTTAAAAGCGGTTACGGACTCTCCAAGCTAAGCTCGAGATTACAGTATATAATTAAGTGCTATTTTGATGTTCATTACTATCATTATCACTAAACATATTAATACTAGCGAAAAATGAGCCCTCTTGATTTAATAACAAAATACACGTTAATTCATAAACACAAACAACATAATAACGACTGAGAGAAGTATGTTGTTGATGTTCAGTCTGTTTGAGCCGTTCGGATTTGTCTCGTACATGGTAACCATCGTACCTTGGACG